CCTGGCTTGGGGGGTGGGGGAACAGAAACCCATGTGGAGCGGAACCTAGTGGGTGCCCTCCAGACCCCACGCGTCGACCCCAAACAAGCTGCCAAGAGCAGCAGAGCCAGAGAACCCAACCGGAGGCAGCTTATTTCATCTGTGTCCAGTTGGTTAAAAATAACTTCACTTATTAGTTTAAGTGAGATCACCGCAGGACTGGAAATTCACTCTTAGTGAGACAGAGTACTGGAAGGAGAATGAGAGAAGTCCACATTCATGATGGACTTTATTTCAAAAAAGAAACACAGAAGGAAGCTGTCTGAATGTTCCCCGGGCTCTGTTTTGCTTCTGGGCTCTTTATAAGGCACCCGCCTGCCGTTCTGGGAGTTGGCAGGCACAGGGCTAAGCGGCTCAGGAAGCATCATGGGGAAAAAGCAACCTTCGGAGACGGTCCTGCGCGGGTGGGACGCTGGACCAGACTCCCGCACGCTCCCGCGGGGACCCCAAGGAACCACCTGTCTCAGCGCCTGCTGGGCCCACACCTTCCTGCACACACAGCTTTCCCTGTTGACTGCGCTGTCAACAGAGGCTCCACCGAGCAAGGCGGGGGACCATGTGGGAGCAGTTTACATGCTCTTTCTAGTGGATGAAAGGCGGAGGAACAGGGACAGAGTTCTCCCCGAGTGCCCGAGGGCAGCCCTCTGGGCCTAACCCCACCTCAGCTTGCACTCCTGTGTCCTCTTCCCGGCCCCACAATCCAGGCCCGTGGGACCAAGGCTCCGGTCCCCACACAGCCCTCCCGGTTGACCTGGAGGTGAGGGAGGCTGGACCAGGCTCAGGCAAACTGCGCCGGGATGCAGGGCTCTGGAGCTCTTTGACTCGGATGACCCACACACCGTGCAGGCGTCACGAAGATGGCATCAGTCTTCACATACATTGACGGGCGACGTGAATCTGCTTCACGTGTTGGCTTCCCGTGACTCGGGGTGGGGGGGTTCTGTCATTATTGTGGTTCTGGGTTTTTTGGAGGAGTATGTAGATCGTTTCATTTTTTTGAAGTTTCTTATTTTTATGCAATTTCAAAGTTACAGAAAAAGTGTAAGAATAAGAAACTCCCATTAAACCCTTTAGCCAGATTCACCAACGTGTTTTCATTTGGCCCCGTTTGCTTTATCAATGTCTCTAGACAGACAGATCTGAACGTGTGTGTGTGTGTGTGTGTGTGTGTGTGTCCATCCCTGCAATTCTTTTCTGAACCACTTGAGAGTAAGCAGTAGATATGATAGATGTCCCTTTGTCCCTAAAAACCTTGGAATGGATTTCCAAGAACAAGGCTATTCTCCTACATAACTGCAATAGAGTTACCAAAATCCGGAAACGTTAAGCACTGATACAACACTATTATCTCATTCATAATCCATATTCAGATTTCATCAATTATAGCTATTTTCTCCTGGCCCAGGGTACAATCCAGGATCGCAAGTTTCATTTCGTCCACAAGTCTTTTTAGTGTAATTTAATCTAGAACAGTTGCTTAGTCTTTCTCATCCTTACACATTTTTTTTTTTTTTAAAAAGAGTACAGGCCAGTCATTCTACAGGATGTTTCTCCCTGATCCGCCGCGTTCAGTGAATCCTCATTTCCAGTCGGCTCCTAGAGAACACAACCAAGACAGCAGCCCCCCGAGTGTACCTTCCAGCACCTTCTCAAAGGCTCTGGCACTGACCTTCGTCCTTAATGCAAAGGGCGTTGTGTGTGCCGCCAGGAGCCCGGCTGCTCTCAATTCTCACGTCAACAGCTCTCATGATCTGCTGTTCACCACTCCCCTTGCTACACACGGTTGTCCTGAAACAGACAAGACACTGGGTTAAGAGAACTGACTGAAAATGGGGAAAAACATTCTTTTCTGCTGTCAGCTTGGAATCAGCAGAGATTTTTCTGATTCAGGCTGAAAAGCATCGAAAACGCTTTGGCTGAAAGCGTTGAAAATGCTTCTCAAACGAAGGTCTAAAATCAGGGAGACATAGCTGATGCTTAGGTTGAGGTCATACGTGTGAATTCAAGCCTCAGGGGCAACAAATACATTGTTGATCTCTTCTAGTATATGTTTGTTTTTTTATTTCATAAAATCCTGCTCTTCTCCTTTTGAGGGGGTTTGTTTTGCTCTTCTTTTTCATGTTTCTTAAGATGAATCATTAGTTCATGAACTTTAAGCTTTTTCCATCTTCTAACACAAGCATTTAATGCTTTACCTTTCCCTCCAGGTACAGCTTTAGTAGCATTTAGTAGGATTTGAGTATGTAATTTTTAATATCATTCAGTTGTACGTACATGCTAATTTCCATTATAACTTATTTTTGTCCCATGATTTATTTAGGGATATCTTTTGTCAACAGCAAGTAGTAGAATTTTTAAAAATCCAAACAATAACCTTTGCTTTCTAATCGGAGCATCTCATCGAGTTAACTTAATCACAGATCTCTTTGAATTTAAATCTGCCATCATTCTATCAATCCTGCCCATTCTTTCTTCCTCTCTTTTCTTTCCCCTATTTTGATTGTTTAAATTCTTTGCTCGGCCGTCTCTTTCCCTCTGTATTGGTTTGGAAGTTATATAACCTTTTAGTATTCTTTCGGTGGCTACCCCAGAAGTTTAACGTGTTTCCTCGACTTACTAAAATTTAATATTACTTTTACCTACTTCCCCAATGACACAACTTAAAATACTCTGTATTAACATACTTGAAATACTTCCTGACTTAAATACCATTTTTTAGTGTTTAGCATTATTGTTACTGCTTTATAGAATTATGTAATTTCAGTTTACACCCCACCCCCCATTTACTCTTTCCATTCATCTTTTTTTGCATCTGCAGCCTTCTTTCCACCTGCAATTCTTTTCCTCCCACATTTAGTGTTTCTTTTAGAGCAGGTCTGACATAATGAATTTTCTCACCTCTTGTCTGTCTGAAATGTCTTTATTTTATCTTTATTCTTGGAAAATATCCTCACTGGGTATAGAATTCTAGAGTGGCAGTCACATTCTCTGAGCTCCTTGAAGGTATCATTCAGTTGTCTTTGGGCTTTTATTGTCACTCCTTTGAGGTACTTTTTCTTACTATTACTTTTAATATTTTTCCTTCCTATTTGACCCTGATTGGTTTTGCCATGATGTGCCAAGTCATAAATTTCTTTGTGCCACATTGTGATTTTCTTTTTGTTTGTCTTACTTGGGCTTTGTAGGGCTTCTTGAATCTGTGTCTGGATGCTCTTCTTCAGTTGTGGGTAAGTCTCATATTGCTTTTGCTCTGTTTTCCTTCTCTTATCCTTTTGGGATTCCAATCACATGCATCTTCTTTGCCTTCTACCCTTTCTTCTAAAAGCTTCATCCTTTTTTCTTCTGTTCTTTATTCTGAATATCTTCCTCTGAAATACCTTCCAGTTCACTAATTTTCTCTTTGGCTCTTTTTAATCAGCTGTGAGATCCATCTCTTAAGCTCTTGATTTCAGTTACTGTATTTTTCATCTGTAGAGTTTCCCTTTGGTGATTTTTATAGTTTTCAGTCTTCTGCCAAAATTCTCTTTCTTGCCTCTCTATCTCTGAACATTTTGAAGAGTTATTTTAAAGACTTCATCTGCCAATGCTAATATTTAGAGAGTCTATTGGCTATTTTTGTTCTTGTTGCCTTAGTTCTTCATATAACTGGTTATTTAATATTGTGTGACAAATACTAAACTTGCTAAAATTATCTGTGGAAATCAACTGCCTATGATAATGTTATCTCCCCCTAGAGATGATTTTAAAAATCAGTTCTGCTAGCTACCTGGAACACTGGAACTACAGTATCATCTTAATCCAAATTCATGGGTTAAGCTATGAGGATTTGAAAGTGTGCTGCAGCTCCTCTGAGGGCCTGTGTACTTCTTGCAGTTTACTCTTACAGCCTTGCAATGTCCCAACCCAAAGCAAAAGGACACCCTAGGCCCCCGCCTACACAAAACCTGAATTCAAATCTCTGTCCTCCTAGACCTACAAGGCTAACAAAATTGCTAATCAGCTTCTCAGTCACCCTTTACAGAATATGCTAAGTCTCCTAGGAAACAAGTGGCCCAAATTCTATATTCACCACTCCAGACCCCCATCTTCCTCTGGATTTATGTATATACTCAAAATAAATTCATGGAGATACAGATCATATCTACTATATATCTACTATTCCATCAATTGCAAGATGCACTGTGCACTGAACAATTGGTTTTTGGGGAGGGAGGATGGCTGTGATGGAAAAACCCACAGTGAAATGTACATACTAATGGCTAGATACTTCTTGGTTCCAGTAACATTAAAATGGAAAACCTATTTGTAATATGTTGTGTAGTAAATATATCAAGTATGTTTGCTTTATAAAGAATTATCATCGTAGCAATGTAAAGATCCACTAAGATGTCTTAATACTTTACAGCAAGCCCAGAGAGAATGGACCTTTCCAACGACTCAGTCCTGAACTGTAATGCCTGGGAGACCTAAGCCTGGTTCCAAGCTGGCTCTTCAGAATCGCTAAATACTCTGATTTATCAGATGCAATGATGGTAGTAGACTTATGAAAAATATCCATACTTAACTACATGATGGAAACATGTATGCAAGGGACATATGTCTATTTAGGCATCTAGATGTAAACATATGAGGCAGAGAGACCCAGAGCTCCAGGTCCACTGACAAGTTTTGGATGAAGCCTCAGTTGTCCTCCTTGCTCAGTTGCTGCTTCATGTGTGGCACATTGGAGACCTGCGTCAGCATGGCTGTGTGTGTTTTCTATGGCCATCTGCCAGCCAGACACCTTCAGGGTCATTATCTACCAAAGTAGTTCTTGGAGCCCATTCCTTTCTCAGTGGAATGGCTCCTGCCGTCTCTGAATTTGAGTAAAGAAGCAGTTAGCAGCACTAGCGGGAAGTTTTCCCCTAGCTGGCCACAGGAATTACTTCTCCAGAAGGATTCCATGTGTCAGGAACTCAGGGCACAATGAAATGGCTTGTCTCTGCTCTCTAATGTCTAAGGACCTGAGCTGGGAAGACTCATACGCTGGCGGCCACTCAACAGTTGAGGGCTAGAGTCACCTGGAGGCATCTTCACTCACATTTCTGGCAGTTAATGAATGATAGCTTTTGGCCAGGACATTGGTTGGGGCAATTGGTGAAAAGACCTATTTGGGGCATCTCCATTTGGTCTGGGCTTCCTCACAGTATCTCAGGATAGTCCAGTTCCTTACATGGCATCTTAAAAGTGAGTGTCCACAGAAAACCAGGCATACATTTTTCTGATTTAATCTCAGGAGCCACATAGTATTACTCCTGCTGTATTCTATTGGTTGAGGCAATACTACACCGTGCCTGATTCAGAGGGAGAGGACACAGACCCCACTTCTCAGTGGAAGCAACGTGAAAGAGCTTGTGGCTGTATTTGAAACCTCCATACCATCTTCCCATTCATACATATGCAGATGCATATCCACAGAGAAAAAATATAAAGACTATATAGCAAACAGTTAAGAGTTATTCCTCTGAGGTGGGACAGAAGAGACAAACTCACTTTGTAACTTTATACAAATTTGTATTATCTGAAATTTTTACAACTGTCTATTACTTTTGTGACTTAATAAGGAAATTCAAAATAACCAAGTCAGGGGATATAAACTGTACAAAACTCCAGAAAAAATGTTTTTATATGAGAATTCAAAACAAAAATGCAACTGAAAGCACTGCCCACTGCATTGTGCCTATCCTGGCACCTCAATAAAACAGTTATTTAGTCCCCACATAAGCCCTGGTGAGGCAGCCGGGTGAGCTGGAAGGACAGCTAGCCCCGCTTGCCTGACTTACCCCAGGGAGCCGTCCGCCAGCCAGCCCGTGGTGCACACTGCGAAGGTGCAATCCTGGACCACCCTCTGCAGCTCCTCCGCAGACGCCAGGTGAGCACCCCTGCTCTTGCAGGAAAGCAGAGCCGCCTCCAGCTCCAGCCCCTGAGAGCCATTCTGAGACTCCAGCACAAAGAGCTTCCCTGTGTGGGAATAAGCACAAACACAGGCTGACTCTGGGATCCATGGGAATACAATCTGGGCACACTTACTCTCCGAGACACCTGTCAGAACTGTAGTTTTCTACTTGCTGGAAGACCCAAGTGCAGCAACTACCCCATGGCACTCATCCCTGGAACTAGGTGTTGACAATCACACTGGCGTTTTAACCCACTCGTTGCTCTTGTCTTCTTTTTTAAAAAAAGAGTGGAGGGAGGTCAAGGGGGTGGAAATGGGGGACATCTGTAATACTGTCAACACTAAAAATTTAAAAAAAAGAATTAACCATCTGCCCTGGCAGGTTTATCTGGATACCCCCTTCCTATATTCCTTTTAAAAAGGTGTTTTACAAACCCCACATGGCAAAGCTCAGTGTCCTAAGTTTCCCTGAGTTGGGTCGCTTGGTGTGCAAGGCACTGATTCAGGCTTCAGCTTTGCCTTCTTCTGCCTGCCCCAGCCCTGGGGTGACCGCTTACATAACAGGTCGCTTCCTTTCTCTCTGCCCCACGGTCTCTTATCACATGTCCCCTTTCCTCTGCCACTCACGGTTTCTTTGCACGAGCCGTCCTCCACTCAGACACTCTTTCTTCCCCCTCTCTGCCTAGTTATCTTTACTCGTCTTTCAGATTCTCCTACACCAAGTCAAAATCTCCCAGTACACACTCTTGTAGTACCTCTGTCCTTTCCTCTTATCATGTATCAACACTGCAATGTCACATTTCATTCATATAATTATTTGCTCAATGACTCTCTTTTCCACTGGCTTTTAAGTCCCCTGATAGCAAGGACCTGCTTTTCTTCACCATTCTGTCCCCAACAGCAAGGACAGTACCTAGCATATAGTAGATACTCAATAAATTACCTGCTGAATTAATGAACCTTTTCCTGTAATCATTACCCAAATACAGTTAATTCACATTCAGTTCGTATGAAGATTTTTCAGTTTCAAAAGTATTTAAAAAGCGCAGTGGCAGGTCTCTTCTGTGTATGAGATGCATACCTGACCCGTCGAACGTAAGCTAAATGTTTTTCATTTGAATTTATCTCATTGACTTATTTTTTAAACGGTCCATGTTTTAATAAGTCCATGGAGTTTTTAATAACATTTCTTCTTCTTCCTTCCATTACTGCCGAACACACCTCAATGTGGAACGTGGTGGTGGTTGAGCGTGTATTTAGTAAAGAAAAGAATCCTTTCATAATATATGTTGTAATTTTTCAATGGCTCGACTATAAAAGCTCAGCAAATGGGGTTTCTTGAAGGCAAGTGTACCTATAATCTTCCATTGGCGAGGAGGGGAAGGGAAGATAGGAGAAGAGAGAAACAGAGGCATTTCTCGCCCGTGGTCACAGGGAAACATGCTTGGCGCCGTTCTTACTGTCTCCTTCGCCAATGGTATTTCTGCCTTCAGTTTTCTGTGACTCGCATCCAGCCAGATAGGCACAAAATATTGACCCATATCCATCTGGCATTGCACCCAAGCCGTTATAATGGGGTGACACTCTAAAGCCTTGTGGGTTGCAGGGATATTTCTTTAAAAGGTATTAAAACTGGTACAATAGTACACATTGTTCAAAAGTTAATACTAGCTCCGACTTATCCTACTTGCATTCTTATAAAATGAGCTTAATTTTCAGGACTCAACGTCAGGCAAAAACAACAACACAACAAGAAGAATCAACAGCAGACTGACTGCTACTAGGTATGGGATTTCTTTTTGGGTGATAATTTTTAGGAATTAGATAGTGGCGATGGCTGCACCACATAGTAAATATACTAAACCCCACTGAAATGTACCTTTTAAAAGGATACGTTTCACATGAATCATATCTCAATTAAAAATTAACAGTGATCACTAGGAGCCTTTGAAGTTAAAAATGATTTCTAACCCTTTTTCTGGGGCCATGGAGAAATGAGACATTTATTCTTCATTATGAGCAAAGAGTTCTCCAAGTTAGTGTGGAAGACCAGGAGCGCCAAAAATTCTAAGATAATATCCGGAGCTTTTCCTTTCTCCCCTCTTCCTTCACCACCCTACTTCTTTCTGTCATCTAGTTTCACCCAGCGTGGTTTGCTAAACAGCAACCCATTTAAAAACATACAGCACATCCCAAATAAGCCACGGATCTTTCTCCTTCAGTTTAATTTGTCTCCAGCTTGGGTTTACTAGAAACCCCTCATGGCCTCTTTTCTTTCCCATCCTTCTGCACCAAATGAACTGGGGTTTTGTTCCAAAATCACAAGACAGCTGAATTAGCTTTTCTGAAACTGAGCTGATATAAAGCTGCGATCCTGCTAATAATCTAAGGGAAGTATCGAAAGCTGAATTCAGTTCAGAAAACAAAAAACCAAACAAACAAAACAAGGCTGGCCAATTTCAGAACCTGCAGTTATCTGGTCCTTACCTGTATCTATCTATCAACAGCCTAACGTCGAAAAACATGCTCGCCTTGCGCTCTGGGTCCGGCCACTCTGTCATGCATCCCGTCTCCCCTGCCACTCACAGCACAGGGCCTTTGCACGTGCGCTTCCCTCTACTCCAGGGCACGCTCCTCTCCCCTTTGCCTAGCCGATTCCCGTTCATCTTCCTGGGCCGAGCCAAAACACCGACAGAGTCCTCTCAGCACTGGCCTTGCCGTCAGGAGCACATTTAATAGTCGTGGACAATTTCCCCTCTGCAGAGGAGGTTCTCGGGCACTCCAGACGTGATTTCATTTTAAAGACCCTTCCTGGAGACCCTGGGCAAGCTAATGGCGGGACTGCGGGACCGACGCTCTGGCTTTCTCCGGTGCGTGAAGGAAGGGTTCAGGGGTACAGCGGGGTGGGCGTTTGGGGGCGCCGAGGCTCGGTGACGCAAGGTCGCAGGGCCGCCGCTCGGCCCCT